CAGCTAACTGGCCAGGAAAGCTGAGCACGAGGAGGAGCCGGGTCTCTGTCGGGCGCGCACCGATGCTCCTTGATGTTGATAGCAGAACGTTACCCAAAGTCTCTCATCTCACCCTTCCTTTTTTATAGGAGTTTAGTTTGGATTCAAAGTCTCTAGGTCTCGCTGTGTCACGCCGCCTCTGGGTTTGGTGCTTGATCACCCGTCAATTGCAGGCGTGACTGTCAGCCTGGGACCTGGCTTTGATCTTCCTTCTGTTGTTTCTTTTTAGGGTGGATGCTTCTTGCTTGAGTTAGGGCTGTTGTCTAGTTCTTCAGCCGTTGGTATTTGAACTTTATCTCATCAGGACGGGCTGGTGCTGGAGGTTGATTCTATCACCCATGCATCCCTCATTCACACATCTCAACTAGACTAATAACATTACAGTATGGCTTGCAAAAATGGAGGCTGCAGCACAAGCCTTCTACAAAATGGAGTCAGCATTTTAAAATGGGTTTTGAGTTACAATATTGCACAGAAGTTACAATGTTACAATGTAGGCAAAATGGCAAGTGTAATGAAATGATGAACAGAAGTTACAATGGTACAGTGAATAACTAAAAACAATTTCATTCACATTGGTTCTACACTCCCCTCCCCGCAGAGCCACCTGGCGCACCGGGTGCCGCTGAAGCCCTACGCCGCGCCGGTGCCGCGCTCCCAGTCCCTGCAGGACCAGCCCACCAAGAACGTGGCGGCTTTCCCGGTGCAGGACCCGGCGGCCCCGGCGCCGCCCCGCGCCCCCATGATCCGCCAGAACTCGGACCCCACCTCGGAGACACCCGCCCCGCCCGCCCGGCCCGGCCCCACCGACCCGCGGGGGCCCTGGGCCCGCACCGAGCTCGAGGCCCCACCCAAGGTAACGGGGCCTGAGCCGCCTTCCACCGGGGGGGAGGATTCCTGGGGCCGACCCCCCACTCACCGCTCTGCTTCCCCACTGCCAGGTGCCCCAGCGAACGTCGTCCATCGCCACCACGCTCAACACCAGCGGGGCTGGGGGCAGCGCCCGGCAGGGCCACGCCGTCAGAGCCAGGTAAGGCCCCGGGCCCGGCCCTCTTAATCCCTTCGAGCCCATGTCCAGCGCATTCAGGTACCCAGCCCAATGCCCCCATCCCCTGGGGTCCCCCCAGTACCCCACCGTCCCCCTCTTCCCTCAGGCCTCTAACTGACAGACTCTAGTGGCCAGGACACCTGGGTTCTATTCCCAACTCTGCCAGTGTCCTTCTGGTCACCTTCAGCAGGTCACACTGCTGCGCTCTGCCTCAGTTTCCCCTCCCATCTCTTGTCAGTTCATTCCAGAGCTGTGGGGGGCAGGGACTCTTGGCTGTGCATCTGGGCAGCATCTCACCTTGCCTCCACCCCCCAGGGCTGCTGCTCCTACTTCAGCTGGTCCTGCTGGCTCTAGCACTGAGATGCAGCCACCTCTGGAGCGGGGCAGCCGGTTACCCAGGGACCCCTAGCCCGGCCCTGAGACGTGCCCACCTCTGGGGCGGGGCGGCTGGTTACACAGGGACCCCTCGCCCGGCGCTGAGATGCGCCCAGCTCTGGGGCGGGGCGGCTGGTTACACAGGGACCCCTCGCCCAGCAGTGAGATGCGCCCAGCTCTGGGGTGGGGCGGCTGGTTACCCAGGGACCCCTTGCCC